TTTTATATATAAGTTGTGTCGGCATTCTCAAATCTAGAAGTAACATGAAAACTGTAAATATTACATGCATTAAACGAATGAGTGTTAAAACTAACAAGTGAATGTTAAATGTATGCTAAAGCGTTCATCTCGTTCGTTATATAATTTTGTTGCAAAACGTTGTTACCCATTAATAATAATGGTTTTATCGGTAATAATTATTAATGACGGTGCATGCATTGATAATGACGCGTGCCATTGGGTTTAATGCGAAACCTTGTTTTCCAGACAGTTTGTCATTGCAAGTAATTACTTGTTTCTTTCCAATTTCAAGGGAGAGCAAAAAAAATGGAAGGGGAGTCAGGTTATAAATACACGCATGCGACGACGTAAATAATTGTAATAACTAGAACATAACATGTGTGTTACCGGTTAAATGTCACCAGTTTTCACATTTATTCGTTCGAGACTTGTTTATTTTTATTGATATGAACATGTATAATATTTATTAAAATCGAATTGCTCGATATAAATTATATATTTGTTGCAATAAATCGATAAATTACCACGAGACAGTGTCAAGTAATGTTTTAAAATTTGTACGCTAAGTGAATGTAGGCTTATAAATGCAAGTATTTACTTTGTTCGCACTAACATTGTGTTTATTCATACAAACTTACTTGATATTCATATTTTATAATCAGGCGTCTTGCTTATATCAGTATGTATTTCTGTGAACATCTTTATTTTATCATATCAATAAGCTTTTTCGCATAGGTAGTTTAGGCATAAAGCTTTTAATTTTATTCTTATTTATACATAATAATTTTACTGCTTTAACTGATTAGAAATTCACAATATGAATGTTCTGAGACATTGACTTATCCAACTGATAGTTTTGTTCATTCCTACAAAGAAATGTACATTTGTGTGGTAAAAAAAAACCGAAAATGATTTAATACTGTACATTATTTACAGAATATATATTAAATATTTATACTTGTTGATTCGATATATTTCAAATACTATATGATAATTACTAATTAAAAATCAATATACATGAATATATTTCTAAAAAAGTTTAAACATTTACCGAAATAGCAAATAAGTATTAATATTGTCACTGTAAATTAGAGCGGACAACGAACCATAAATAAGCTTGTACTTATTATCGAACATACATTAAATAATTGTAATTTTGTTTATTCTTTATGTTGTAAATATTATAGGACAAATTATTATATTAACATATTTCTAAAAAAAATGCAAAAATATTGACCAAAATACAAAATAAATAGTTATTTTATCATTGTAGGTTCATACAGATAATTATACTTTTATGCAGTAAAAGAACCGTAAATAATCATGTACTTATGATCGAAAATACATTAAATATTTGTTAATAAAAAAGTTACAATATTGATCAAAATGCCAAATAAATACTAATTTAACAGTAAATAACTTATTATCGAACATATAATAAATATTGATGATTCTATCTTGTTAATCTTTATGCAAATATCAATTATATAAGATTAAAAACACTTGAAGTATAATGAAATTTCATGCGATTAGTTGCTTTTGAGATGAATGGATTATGTAAATAATTGATGAAGTCATGAGAGTTGAAGGCATAATAATAATTCCATAGTCAATAATGAGTTTTCGGATGAAATCGTTGGGAGCTAATCGATCCTTTCTAAAAGCCTATGAGGTATTATTATATTCTAAGCAATTTTCTTGGCGCAAATACTACGACATGACATCCAAGACAAGATCCAATTAAAAGAGCATACTGGTTAATCAAGTTTACTAAAAACCGTTTTAATGGCATTGCGAAACTATTTATCCGATACTGTCACATATCGCTATTCTATTTTTCCTGTAGAAAGAAAACAATTTTCTTTACTTTGCAGTTCAGGATTAATTTTGAAGAAAATAATAATAATAACAACAAGAACATTATGTAGGAAGAATCGTCTGGAGCTGAGGTTGAAATAAACGGACGTACGAAAACTCGTGTTACAAGAACAGTTTCAAACTTTACTTTTCCTGCGGTAATTTATTTACACAATCAGTTAGATACCAAATAATAAGCAAGTGTGTAACTGTAATGCCACACATTCGCTCGGAATTCGTTTAATTCCAATCCAAACTCCAGCTCTCTTCCGTCTCTCTCATGCGCACGCTTTATTGACATTAACCTACTTAATTCTACCGAAACTAAAATTATTTACACACGCATCGACTACAAACATAAAGCCGAAAACGGTTTAATCCAAATGATAAATGGTTTGAAAACGATACGTGCATATTTTTTTCCATTTACTTTTTTGTGCAATTTTTTTCTGGTATTCAAATTCGCATTTGATATTATTACGAATATTATTTTCTTTTCGTCGTGATCATCAATCATGCAGCTTGCTATTATTTACATGGAGTCAGCTGAAAATGTAATTTAGTTCTTTTACGAATATAAATGAAAAATTGTTTACGCTCTAAACAGCATTTCCATTCTTACGCGTTTCACCTACTTCCTCTTTCGTTTTCGCTAACAGCAGACCGACTTACGGAAACGGAAATAAAAAGAACAGACAGACAGAAATAATAAAGAAAGAAAAAGAAACAAATAAAATGCAACTAGTCACCAGTGCCAAATCAAACTTCGGAAGTGGGGACCAATTGTAAGGAGCTCTCGTAAATGGAATATCATTATGTATGCGTGTAAAAATACAGTTGTAGCTCGAGAACAATTTTCACGTCTCAAGGGAAATTAAGGTGAATCGTATTTGCGACATTCTTCTTCAATGCGAAACGCGAATATTTTAAGTTTTAGAAGAAAAGTGCAATTGTAACTTATGAAGTATATTATAAGTATAATATACAGAAGATTGAGAATCTAATACTAGATATAAAGTTGAATGTAATGTTAGTGATTTTAGTTTTTCTCAACAGAATGTATTTGATTAATACACCAATTACTTTTTTAAAAACGATATATGTAGAAAATTTATTTTTTAATAACATATAATTTATGAAATAGATATAATTTTATATTACAATAAAGTTTTAAACTTGAAAAAAATGAAAACGAATTATAGATATAATTTGACTTTGCATCGAAGTAAAATATAAAATTTCTAAACAGTACCATTTTTTATTAATTTATTGATCAACTTAAATTCTATTAATAAAAATAAAAAAAAAACATTAAGACCTTTATTTGAAATCTAACATAAAAATATGTATTAAATATGAATTTAAATTATTCTGCTTAGATATACGATAAAGCACATGATGAATAATTCTCCTTTTAAATTATTTCATTCTATGAGATTTACGGCAACAATTTTACATGTATTTGCTCTTTCAACTGTGTTTTCTGTGTAAAGCTATTATCATATTAAGAAAATCGGTTTTAGTTCTAACTAGTGTAAATACATGCATATTTTATGATGCTCTCCAATACTGACTTCGGGTACATATAACCTGTTCCTATCCATTGTGATTTATTTCCGTTGGCGATGTTTACCTTTGAAGGGCTTTCAACAAACTAGGAGCAGTTCCAGAAGGGTAAACAAATTTACGAGCAAGTCGTACATCCTGTTATTGTTAAATCCATATACAAATATATTCATTGTGTAAAGATGAGCAGTGGAATTATATAGAAATACATTGGATGAATACATACTTCATCAATTTTTTTCGTAAAGGAACGTAAACTTTTTTATTTAAAACTAAATTATTTTAATTAAATTGAAATCTAAATAATACAATAAATAATAATTAATTGACATACATCCATTAATTATTTTTTCAAAATTAATTAAGCAATTATTTAGTATATAAATATATATTTAAAAAAAAGAAACACTCAAATTATCATATTTGACTTACTTTTTCTTTATAAATTTTGAATAGAAATAAATTAGTATATTTAAATATTAGAAAAGATTTAAATATTCAAAATACATGTGACACTTTTGACATTGATATTGACCTTGAATATTTGGAATAACCCTAATAAGTATAATAGAGACTTCTTTGGTAAAAACTAGATATTCAACGCTAATTAAAATTAATGTAATTTTATTTAAAGTAGATTTTTTTGTTTATTATATTCCACTGTATTATGATTAATTGCAATATATTTGTAGTCATTTTATAATATATTTTGTCAAATATTTAAAATTTGAAAGTATTGTAATTATTAAATATTTTGATACTATTTTGTAGTTGTTAATTGTAAGGTGAATTACAATTAGTTTATAGGAATACGATAATTCTATATTTTGTAGATTTTTTTCCAAAAAAATGTCAATTGATGTCAAAAATAGTATTATTAAATATTCCATGTTCCACTCTTAATATTGAGGTAAATATTGTTTTTAATAATTATGATAGAAGATTTATATACTGTTATTCTATATATTATAGAAATACAACAAATTTATTGAAAATATAAAAAAATACTAAAATTTAATAACAGTTAATTATTTTTGTACTTATACATATTGACATGAATTTTTCATTAAATAAGCACATAACTTATATTATAATTACTTATTCCTTCAAATAAAAAAATCTCTGGCATTGAGCGATTTATTTTTTGATATTGATAAATTTATCGATTAACATTTATCAATTAAATACACCCTTAATACTTATTTTAACATAAATAAATGTATCCAATGATATTAAATGTTATTTAATGAAAATAAAGTTTTCTCTTATTAATATTTTTTATATATCTTAATTGTTGTATTAATTACTAAAATAATATATATATAACCTTTATTTTTACTAATTAATTACTAATATAAATTAATTATGTTACTATTTTGTAGCGATTTTCAAAGAAATGACAGTATTTTTTTTTGACACTTTCATCGATCTAAAATGATCAATCAATATTCCATGTGGATTGTATTGAAATATTTTGTAATTACGTTTTAGTTGTTAACTTATTGTATTTTTTGATAAGTTTTGAAGATTATTAATGATAGGATTATAATATTTACCTCTGCTGTTGCTGTTCTCATCGATCTCAATTGACGTACAGATTTTGAACAACAAATATAAACATAACAGGAGCACTTTGAATTTAGCCATCGTAAATTAGACTTGTTTCTCCGTGCTTTTTTACGTTCGTTCTTCAATTAAGAACCAATAACAAGAAATAATTAAGAATTCTAAGAAATGCGCACTCGAAAATCACTTATGCTAAATGGTGTTAAACATGGCTCACTAGATTTTCACTAGAATTCTGCAAACGGAAAGACGGTGTTTCCGTGTTTGCTTTACGCGTCCGAACAACAACAAAAAAAGTATAGCTGTGTTTTCCTCTGGTTACGAATTGGAAGGCTATTCGCGCGTGTGGTATTTATAAGTGATTGTGGACTCTCGTTGAAGAGCCAGCCGGTGTATGACTGAAGACATGTTGCTGTTGGTCTATCGGCCACCAGAGCAGGCCAAGTGGGTCACTGGGACGCAATAGCGGTCTTCCTGGTCTCCCCCTTGGCCCCCCTCTGGTGTACACCTGTTACATGGATTTCAGGTATGAAAATTACGAGTGTAAATTTAGGGTCATGTACTTGCTTACCTCCACTACCTGTTTAGAAAAGATTATTATTATATATTCTGTTTTTTCTGCTTTCGCTCACTCGGATGTACGGACGGACGGACGAACGGAGGCACGAGCACCGGGATAATTTTCTTCAAAGCAATCGCATCATCTTTCATCGTCGGTTTCTCATCTCCTCATACCTTGCATCGCGAACTTTATGAATGCACAATTTAGGAGAGAAATTCTTCGTGCACTTTGCTCTTGCTCTTCTTACTTTTGCGTGATGAAAAATATCGAAGGAGAAACTTCTTTGGTACATTTTGATTTCCAAGTGTTCCCGCTCGGAATTGAGCACACTCACATTCAAAATATTTTATATCCTTAAACTGTTTTCACTTTTCCCCTCGCATTGTTTTCGCATGCGAATTATACCACATCGCATCTCGGACTACTTTACTCTTGCATTCAGAACATTAATTGCTTTCTCAAATTAACTTCCACCTATGCATGCGATCACTGCTATTGTATACCAAATTGCATTCATACCAATTTAAAATATTGTAATTTATATAATGGCACACTTATATACTAATTTAATACTAATTACTCTAAATTGAATAACAACAAAAGTAGTAGAGGTAATCATTATTTAGAGAATCGCTTTTCCATCCATTGTTATTTAAAAAAATGATATAATTTGTATTCAATTGTAAAATATAATTTTTTGTATCAAAATATATTTGTTTAAATAAAAAAGTTCATGATTAATTAAAAATATATATAAATTATTATAAAATATGTTGATGTTACATTTTTTCTGCAACAAATATACGTAAAGTTTGTTGAGTGATAAATAGTAAATAAAATTTACAATGAAAAAAAAACATTGAATTATAACAAAATTTATTGCAATATTTATATAATTGTATCAGTAAATACAACATTCATATTGAAACATTACCACAAGCAATATATTTTTTAATAATTAATGATATTTCTATATATTTTTCTAACTTATTTTTAACAAATATACATTATATGTTCTAATTATTGCAATATTTTGCATTTAGTTTGTTTCGTTTTAATAAAAATATAAACATATAAACATATTAATTTTCTCAGAAAACCAGAGTATTTTATATTTTGCAATATATTATTTTTATCCATATTTATGAATGAGTATTTTGGTTTTATTTTATTTCAAAGTTATTTTTGAAACTTACTTATAAACATAATGAATACATCATTTACTTTTATAATATAAAGTAAATATATTATTTCCTACTATGTAAATACAATTCAGTTTGTAGATATATATATTTACAAATGAATAAATGCTCACTTAGCTATCCGTATTATGTGAGGTTCTAAAATACCAAAAAATATCTCTCAATTTTTTTAAATTTAACGATATTTCATGCCAATTTTCAAGAAGATCAGTAAGAATGGAGAGGAGAAAATGCAAGATTAGTAATGTAAGGTTGGTAAAATTTTTACCACCCACACAGCAAAAATTTGTTTTGCCATTATCTACGGATTTCGACGTCAACTCAAGCCTTTGCAAATTTTCCAGGAATGCCAAAATGCATATGGAGTGAATGCATCATCCCTTGTGACTATTGCGAAGTGGTTTCAAAGATTTCAGACCGGACATTTTTCTGTGGAGGACGAATTTCGATATTCGACTGATGATACAAATGTAGCCCTGGTGAAGACAAACATTGACGAAGATCCAACACTCAAATTTCATCATTTTGGCTGCACGAAGAAATCCGCACGATGGGTCCCACGATTTTTAAATGACGACTAAATAAAGGCACGTATTCGTTTTGCCGAATATTTCTTGAAAAATTTTGAAAATGGAGATTCGAGCATTTTTAGTAAAATCGTAACAGGTGATGAATCTTGATTGACCTGGAAACCAAGCAGCAGTCCATGGTATGGAGCGCAGAAGGTGCAAATCCCCTCAGTTAAAGCAAGACAACAAAAATCAGCAACAAAAGTGATGATGTCGATTTACTTTACCAGGGTAAATGTGGTAGCTGCTATCATAGTCGAAACTGGTCAAAGTGTAACTGATAAGTAGTACATAGAAACTTGATTACCACAAGTTTTCAATAATTTGTTGGGACCTAGCGCCTTGTGAGTTTTGGCTGTTTCCGAAAATTTAAAAAAATGAAGTAAATTGACTTCAGTTTCAATGAAGAGATCATTAATTATAATTTGAAAAGCTCTAAAAAGCCGATTTTGAAAAATGTTTTGACTGACTGACTAAGGAAATGCATTGAAAAAATGGAAATTTACCAATTATGTAGAAAAAATACAAAAGGATGAAAATTAAAAATAATAAAATATAAACTATTTTGTATATTTTTCCAGCCAACTTAGCGAACTTTTGTAAGACCCCTTGTAAATAAAATAATAATTATTATGAAATGCTAATACTATGAATACTAAATTATACAAAATATAATTAAATTAACATCATTTTTAATGAAAATAAGACTGTAAAATCATACATAAAATCACTTTTTAACAATAATTAATACTTTTTGACGTGCCATTAGAAAAAGTATTTGTATAAAAGGCTTACAGCAAGGTCTTCCTGTTACTAAATATAACGTGCATAAAAACGCTCTAACAACAATGTTAACTTCTTAACGTACCATTAAGAAAACTATATGGTAAAAAAGGCTATTGTTGGAGGATTACCAGATTGTAATTCATTATACCTTGTCATGTAATGAATGTGTGAGCATTGCTAAATTTATAGAAGTATATGTATAATTTATAATCACATTTATTATAATTAAAATATACTAAAGAAAAATAACTGTATTGAATAACTTCTTTAGTGCTAGATCACTTCAACTCTAGAAAATATTTTTTGACTAAGAAATGTGTACAAAAAAAATCGATTATGAAACATTGGTAACTTTTTATAAAATTCCTGTACTTTATATTTATACTCTAGTGTATAGTGTAAAATATTATGTACAAAGAAAAATAATCCAAGTCTAATATAGATTAAACATAATAAAAGTAGACGTTTAGAAAGTTTATTTTTTACATGAAAAGTAAAATTTATAAATATATATTTATTTCATGTTTATTTTTTTATGATTATTGCAATTAACATGATTATAATGTAAGATTTGAATTTATTGAAAATTCAATCGTTTAATACATTTCAAAAAGCTTTACTAAACATTCATATTTTAGATTTATACACTATTTCTTAAATTCACATTATTTGTATCAGTATAAAATAATATTTAATAAATAAGGGTATATAAAGCCAAGGATTATTAAATTTGTTACGAAAACGGATCTAATATTTGTTCTGAATGCTTACCTTAATAATAGAAATACTTACCTTAACCAATGAAAATACCGTTAATGAAACTCATGTGGCTCTTATACTAAACGATAGAGAATACATTAAAAAAATGTTATAATAGACCTACCTCAAAGAACCGTAAATCCGACAAAAATTTAAAGCAATTTAATACTAATTAGTGATTTTTTTACTTGAAAATTAAATTGTTAGATTTATTATAATTAATTATATTTCCAATTAATTTCTTGCAATTTATATAATTTCAATATATTTTATGTAATTTAATTTTCTGTTTAAAATTATACAAATGTATAAGAATACAAAAACAAAAATGATAATAGATTATCTCATTTTAAGTATATTTCTTTTGATAGATTTATATACAAATTTGTTAGTATCACCTTGAATTTAATTTTAAAATAAATTCTTTTGAATTCAATTGAATTTAATTTATCAGACTCGAAATTGAATTGAATTGAATCGAAAGGAAGTCCAAAATAGAAATCAACAATTATGCCACGAATTCCAAAATTTGTTTAATATGTAAAAATATTGCATATAGAATATACGCATTTCTCTCAATAATTAATTTAAATTATTTCATTGATTAATGTATATTAATAATGTATAAATTTAATTAAAAAACTAATTATACATTATATCGAAAGTTAAAGAATATGCAAAAGATATACGTTTGTATTTAAGATGAATACCGTTGTGTTTCTTGAAGAATACGTTAGAAGCTATAGCTTTATCGAAAAGAAAGAAATGCAACAGTTCATGTGCCCAATTCCTCTGTTTTATTTTTAACCGCATAATTTGACTACCATTTACATATACACATATGAACCACATTTAAACCGTTATCTTTTGGATACGTTTCAATCTATAAAAGGATCTAAACAGAAAATGCATTTAAAAAAGAAAACGTAATAGAAACATTATTATTTATAGAATCATATATCATTCAATTAATTATTATATTAATTGTAAAATATTTTAATCAAGTTACATACAATTAATTGTAGCATATAATATGTTTTGTTTGTTGTAGGATGTAAACCACAGTAGAACCTGTTTTTGTGCGGTCCTTATGTATGCGATTTTATTTTTGTGCGTTTTTTATGCGGTATATGAAATCCAACCAATTTCAAAGGCGTTGGCACCATTGTAATGTTATAAATCAGTGTGCATATGTACAGCCTG